CCTCAGCACACACCGCATGCGCACACTGAAGAATCCGCCGCCGTCATCTTCCGTCGTCCCATCTTCAGGATAGATCAATGCATATGCCTTGCCAGACCCAACTGTCGTCGACGCCACCATCCTGTGCGCGTCCATCATCACGCTGCCATCGCCGAGAGCCCGCTGTCCCATGCCACTGAGACACGCCGTTGTCGACGCGTCAGATGCAACGCCGCTCTAACGTTGTAGTCTTCCACAGGTCCCTCTAGCCAATGAACCCCTCCAAGAATGATGCTCCCAATAAGGGAACAACACGTGAGCGCCGCCATCATCCGTTCGACCGATTAAGGGTTCCCCCCAGAGGTAGTGAAAGGAGGTGGGAGCTTCACCTTGATGATGCCTCCAAGAAGGAAGTAGCGCGTGGGGCGTCGCCATCATCGGCTCCGACCACCGGCCAAAGACAAGGTCTTCACCCAGATCTTGTCCCACAAGAATCCATCAGACATCTTGTGCATCGGCCGCCCAGATCAGGTGACCACCCACAACAGCACTGCCACCACGGGAGCCCTGACATACCTGCCACTACCGGAGTCGTTGCACGACCACTAGAGCTTGGGAGGTGGGCCGCCACCCCGCCTCGCCAAACCGCGAGAGCCGCCGGGAAAGGTCCCACTCCTACTCGTCACCGTCACTGGTCCGGTCCGGAGCCAAACCACCAGATCGCCGGCGCAGTTATGCCTTGGACAAGGGCAACATCACGCCATGCCGACGTGGACTGCTTGAGCTTCATCTGCCGCCGCCTAGCCCCACCCCTATCCTTTGGCCGATCTCCACCCGCACCACCACCGTCGGGAGCCGCCGCGCCGCCCTGGACCGAGGAAGAGGCCGCACCCCGCGAATCTAGCGCCCTCACCGCCGTTCAACCCTGGAAGGAGGAGCAGCCCTCCGCCGCCGCCGTCAAACGCACGAGCTTTGTCCGACCTGTCCCCCGACGGCGACGGAGGGGAAGGAGGGGGGGAGAAGGGGCGGCTGGCGGTTAGGGTTGGCGCCTCTCGTATCAGCCGCGAGGCGGGCGATGCGAGAGGGACGAAGAGGTTATTGCTGCCGTATCGTACGATTTCACTGGTATCATCATGAAAAATGAAGAGTACTAATCTATTTATTTATTTTCAAAAATAAGAGGGTGAACACCTTCGGCCTCTGCATCAGTCGATGCATGCAACCCTCAGTTATTAATATACAATCGAAGTTTACAAGATCCAACTCGAGATAAAACAAGAAGAGCAGTAACTTTTTCCACCGCAAGCTCTTTTGCCACCAAATTTTGCATCAACAAGATTCAATGAGCATAGGGCTGCATATATTAGGTAGAAGCGACTATTCAGTGCCTCATTCGTCAAATTTAACTGGTGATAGCAACATTACACCTACGTTTCTATATTACCCTAGATTGACTGGCCGGTCCAGTCGACGCCGTATCCATCCTCCAATTTCACATCCTAGATTACACGCCGATTCTATGATTTGCAACTCTACTCGAAAAATTCAGGTAATCAACAATTCTCACAACTTGGTGACGAGGCATTTGATGTTGTAAGCTACACTTGTTGGTTTGTTTTTGTTTTTTTTCCGAAAAGGGGGACTCCCCGGCCTCTGCATCAGAATGATGCATACGGCCAACACACTTGATGCTGTAAGCTACACTTGTTGGTTTGTAGTACAACATCATCTTAAATCTTATATGCATATCTTCATATCTTGTACTGTAACTTCTTTATCCTCCAATTGCCCTTTTGAATAACATATCTAGTGGATAGAACAGTATACAAAAAATGAATGGGCATGTATTACTTGGGTTGTTCAACTAATTGAATATATTTTCTATAGGCCCTGCAATTTGTTTTTAAGATGATCTTGCCGGCCAACCCGGCTCTGAAGTTCTTGATGTTGCCACTTCAACCCTTTTCCTTGGCTGTAGCCTGTAGCCTCTAATAAGTGATCTATGTAATCAACTGTTCGGCGTGACATTCTGATTCTCAAGTCGTCCTCATAAGCCTATAATAATTCGTGACAAGATGTTTGGCTTGGACAATTGAGTCCCCTCATCCATTAAACAAGCAAAGATGTTCTTAACAGATGACTCAACCCATTTCTTTTTGTTTGACCTAGCATATAAATCCTTCAAGACGTGTGTGGTTGTACAAATAGGGAGCGCTACAACATGTCTGACCAGGTCGATCAACCACTAGTTGGCATGGATTATCAAAGGGAAGTGCTACAGACATCATGGCGGAGATTGCGCCCCGCAGGCTTAGGGTCCGACTGTCTCCTCCTTCCTGCCTTCGTGCTCGATAGCCTTCCACTTTGCCCCCCTTCTCCCCCGCCACACACGTCCGCCGCCACCGCCGTCTAGTTTGGGTGTGTAGAAATGCAT